ACATTTTTTTCAATCACCTAGTACTTAAAGTCTACCTATATTCCGATAAGATAATTATTAAGATATTATTTAAGTGTCTATAAATATTATACTTACATAAATACATTATAATATATATATATATATATCATACAAGAAAATATATAAAAGTTATCTTACCTATACTTTTAGGATCGTTTGATTTAAATTTCTCAGGGAAATCATCATTGGCTGTACTGTTTGTAAGAAACGCCAATTCTAATGACATTTGTTGACACATGGCTGTTACTTGATCTGTTGTTGACATTGGTTTTTCACTTCGAGGAGAAGCTTCAAGTATAGGACTTACTAAAATAAATACAAATATTGCTATGTATTATTACTTATCATGTTATTTATAGTTTTGACTTTAACTCTGTACCTGGAGTATTCATTTGTAAGAGTTTATTAGATGTACGGGGATTTGCTGTTGGTTGTAGACTCATTGATCTCGTTCTCTCTAAATTAGAAGGTAATTCAGATATTCGAAGTGACAACTGTCTTTTGAATGGTGACGCTTGATTAAGTTGCGTAAACCCACGAAATGATCCTTGTCGTTGTAACATTGACAATGTAGCATGCGGTCTTTCAATCGCATTGGTGCTAACTTTTGGTGTTGTGGGGTTTTGTTGCAATGGTTTTACTGTTGATGTTGGTATATCTAGAATAATTATTACATTTTTTATATAATATAAGAAGTAATGATTACTTCACTCACTTTTAAATTAAAATCTACAAATTAATAAATAATAATAATGTCATTGCATCAAGTTATCTAAATAAAATATGTACCTTTATTTAACTGAAGAAATGGGGGAGGTTGTGGTGGTGCATTGAGCGGAATATTAGGTTCAGATTGTTGTTCAGTTAAAGATGGAGTTCTAAAACTGCCAGTTCTAGTAAAAACAGATGTTTTTGGATCATAGTTCATTGTAACAGAACAATCTTCTTCTCGTTTATTTTTTCTTATCAGGCATTCTTGAAAAGCACACCCAACAGCATGACTTAATCGATCACCCTATTAAAATTTCATAATTAATACAAAACATTTAAATACAAATAAAAGTAAGAAAATTTATTTTATATTTACCGATTCTTTTAAAGCTACAAAACCGTGACACATCCATCGACGAGTCAGTCCGTCTCTGCATATGTATGAAAATCCCTTTTCATGACTCCGGTCTGGGGCACAGAACGAAACTTTTTCAATTGTTTGATCCACTATCAAACCCTGAAAATCAAGAATTGTAAAACAACAATTTTACAAGGATGTAACAATTATTATTTACTTTTGTTTCTTCTTCAACGACACGCAATCCATCTCCTGATATGTAAAATATAGCTCTGACTGGTCTGCGGCRTGATGCCTACAAAAACAGAACATAAATTAAAAATCTTCGTTTAATTTTAATGAAAAGGTCATAATATTACCCTAAGTGTTTTTAAAGCTTCTTCGCATACTTCCATTCCTCTCGATTCAAAGACTTCGACACAGCCCAAATACTGTAAAACAAAAATATGTTAGTCAAACAATTACTATATAAATAATATTATTAAACTATAATTGCTATTTCAATTATTATCAACTAATTTAAAAAAACAATTTTGTACATTTTTATTTAATATAGGTTTTAATTAATTTCTATTAAATTTACTCAGTACAAGTATTGGTAATTGCAAGTCATCTAATTATGTGTAAATACTGTACATTTTAATTACATTATAATAATTAATCCTACCTCCACGAGGAAGTTCATTCCACACACTTCTTCAGAACACATTATTTTCCCCTACAGAGAATCCAAATTTAATTTCTCCAATTCCAATAAAATGTATAAACTCTATAAGTTTGATCTATTATCTAAATTAAGTTTTTCGTATTGGCTGTACCAATGTACACCTATTATTCAAACATCTATGTAGATACATTTTCAATTTAATGTTTGAGAATTTTACGAAGCCCTTCTTTTTTTTCTTTTTTTTTTTTCTAAATTTTAAACAATTTTAAACGCAGTTTACCTTAACATGGAAGGAACATATTCCAGCCCGGACTTCAGCTTCGTCCATGGCCCACAAATGAGGCTTAGGATTGGAATGATGGCCTGGCGATCCGGCAGTATTTCCCAGATCTTTACGGCGTCTGAAACTGTCTCGAAAACTCCGCCGTAATCGGTCCATTTTAGACGGCGACCGACCACTCTATAAATTGAAAAAAAAAAATTAATTCGATTATTATTAATTATTTGCAGACTCATTATGGGGGGGGGGAATATAATATTTTTCCCAGTCTTTTTTTTTTTATAGTCATAATTAAATTCCCGTAAGCATCTGGCTCTAAAAGAAAGAAATAAGAATAATTTTTTTTTATTTTACTAGTTTAAAACTACGAGACCTCAACAATTATAATATATTATGACAGCTCAATTTTACGGCTCACAGTGCTAAAACATAACTTTGAAAATTATTTGTATTATACAATTTACCCCATTTAATTTATGATAACAAATAATTAATATAATGTTATTATTTACGAAATTTAATAGTCAGGAGGGATGTGGCGGCATAGCCCCTGCACTAGAACGATAGTATAACCTTATATATCCCATCCCAGAACCAATTCCAAGTTACGTCATTCCGATCTACACGTTGTATATTCGTTTGAGTAAAATATATTACTATATTAGCWTAAAACCACCACGATGATTCTCAAACGGTCGGACTAATATATGTACATATAACATATACCTACGTCTTGTTAAACACGAAATAATCGAAATATATTAATTTAATTTAATTACACAACGGTACAAGTTGTACATCAAATAATTAYTAGACGATACACGCTCTGATTAGACCTGGGTATGTATATATAGTTGAAATCTKCGCAGGATTCGAGATAAAATATAGAATCATATCGGACGAATTGGACAGCGGCCGACGGATGGCATTATTTTGCTGGAATATCATTGCATGCAGGTCAGAATGRACACATTTGAAAAACGAATTTATGAACTGAATTTACCCAACTAACCCAACAGAATTCATTTATAAAATAAATAAATACGTTTCCGAAAGAATCATAATTTTTCAACTTTTTATGCACGACACATATTTTATGTATAGGTATATTGTTTTTATTATACATCTAATCATCGTACCTATTATATTAACCATTGATTAAAGTTTACTAAAACACGGATAAAAAATTGCAATAATTTCAACAAATATACACCACATCCGTTGAATGCGCGTCGACACTTCAGAATTAAGACGACGTTATAATACAATATACCATCGTCGTGTACCAAGTGAGATATTTTTCAGTGTCATTCCAAATTTGTACATTATAACTTATATACAATTATGTAATTGAATAAAAGTTAGTTATAAATTTTAAACTTATAACAGATACGACAAACATTTAATTTCCCTAAGGAGAGGAGGTAGTTCACTTACCATATTGACATCTGCACAATCATAAATAAGTAACGAATAAGATACCAAGGGGGGATCTGTTCCCCATGCCCACTCACGTAAATACGCCAGTGAWGACTTATAACACCTTAGCTATTTACTTATAAACCTGCTATAACACATAACATTCTACCAACGGTTAATTATGTACATAGTTGCTGTGATTTGTTCAACACTGCAGGTTGTATATATAATATAAAATAAATCTAAAATATAGGTAGGCACTCGAAACACTTTATATAGTTATTTTATAATAATAAGCCAATAACGCAACGATA